CCTGAAAAAAAGTAGGAGTAGCTATCCTCTTTGCAGATCAAGTGGATTTCAAACCAACACTGATTAAGAGAGACAAACAAGAACACTACAACCTTGTAAAGGGAACAATCCAAGAGGAAGAGATGACAATCATAAATATCTATGCACCAAACATGAGTGCGCCCAACAATATAAAGCAAACACTAATGGACATGAAAAATCAAATAAGCACTAAGACAATAGTATAGGGGAACCTCAATACCCCACTGTCACAGATAGATAGATCAACTACACAAAACATAAGTAATAAAATACTAGAACTCAATCAAACTCTTGAACAAATGAACTTAACAGGTGCTTACAGAGTGTCCCACCCCACAAAATCAGAATACACATTCTTTTCAGCTGCACATGGTTCATTCTCCAAAATAGACCACATACTCGGTCACAGAACATGTTTAAGTAAGTGCAAAGGAAATGAATTTATCCCCTGTATATCATCAGACCACAATGCAATGAAATTGGAGATCAATAGCAAAAGAAACCACAAAAATTTCATAAACACATACAAATTGAACAACACACTTCTGAATAACCAGTGGGTCACAGAGGAAATTAAAGAAGAAATCAGACAGTTCCTACAATTAAATGACAATGACAATACAACATATAGGAATCTATGGGGCACTATGAAAGCTGTTTTAAAGGGAATTTCATAGCAGTGAATAATCACATTAGGAAAACAGAGCGAGCCCAATTAAACAACCTGATGCTGAACCTCAGGCTTCTGGAAAAAGAAGAGCCGGACAAACCCAAAGCTCATACAAGGGCGAAAATTATAAAGATTAGAGCAGAAATCAATTCAATGGGGACTAAGAGAATAATACAAAAAATCAATGAAGCTAAGAGTTGGTTCTTTGAAAGAATCAACAAAATTGACAAACCCTTAGCCAATCTTATCAGAAAAAGGAAAGAAAAGGCCCAAATCCATGCAATTAGGAGTGAAAAGGATGAAATTACAATGGACCCAGCAGAAATCCAGAGGATCATTAATACCTACTTCGAGAACCTATATGCCAATAAGATGGAAAACACAGAAGAAATGGACAGATTCCTAGATCCATATGAATTACCAAAGTTGAACGAAGAAGACCTAAAAATTCTAAACAACCCATTATCAATCAATGAAATTGAAAACGTAATAAAAAACTTACCAACTAAGAAAAGCCTGGGTCCTGATGGTTTCACTGCTGAATTCTACAAGACATTTAGAGAGGAACTACTGCCACTACTGCTTAAACTCTTCAATGAAATTGAAAGGGAAACAATACTCCTGAATTCATTCCTGGAAGCAAGCATCACCTTGATCCCCAAAGCAGAGAAAGACCCAACTGAAAAAGAGAACTATAGGCCAATCTCACTAATGAACATAGATGCAAAAATCCTTAATAAGATACTGGGAAACAGAATGCAGAAGATCATCAAGAAGATCATACACCCTGATCAAGTGGGATTCATCCCAGGGATGCAGGGATGGTTCAATATATGCAAATCAATCAATGTAATACACTATATCAATAGAGCCAAGGACAAAAACCATATGATTATCTCAATAGATGCAGAAAAGGTATTTCACAAAATCCAACATGCACTTATGGTAGAAATCCTACAAAGAATTGGAATGGACAATCTCTACCTCAATCTGATAAAAGCCATCTATGAAAAACCAACTGCCAATATCATACTAAATGGTCAAAAACTGAAATCCTTCACTCTAAAATCAGGAACAAGACAAGGATGTCCACTATCACCACTCCTGTTCGATATAGTCTTGGAAACATTAGCCACGGCAATTAGACAAGAAAAAGAAATAAAAGGAATAAAGATAGGAAATGAAGAAGTCAAACTGTCATTATTTGCTGATGACATGATACTCTATATAGAAGACCCCAAAAACTCCACCAAAAGTCTTCTAGACTTAATAAACAAATTCAGTAATGTAGCTGGATACAAAGTCAACACACAAATATCAGTAGCTTTCCTCTATGCAAATAAGAGACTCACTGAGAGAGAAATAGGGCAAACAATTCCTTTCAGAGTAGCATCCAAAAAACTGAAATACCAAAGAATCAACCTAACAAAAGAAATCAAAGACCTCTGCTCTGAAAACTATAGCACTCTGAAAAGAGAGATTGAAGACAATATCAGAAAATGGAAAGACTTTCCTTGCTCCTGGGTAGGAAGAATCAACATAGTGAAAATGGCCATATTTCCAAAACTGCAATACAGATTCAGTACAATCCCAATTGAAATCCCAGCAGCATAATTCACAGACCTTGAGAAAACAATCCAAAAATTCATTTGGAACAAGAAGAGACCTAGGATAGCAAAAGCAATTCTAGGTAACAGAGACATGGCAGGGGATATCACAATCCCTAACTTGAAGCTATACCACAAAGCTACTGTGATAAAAACAGCATGGGACTGGTAAAGAAACAGACCTGAGGACCAGTGGAACAGATTAGAAGATGCAGAAACAACTCCAGACACATTCAGCCACCTCATCTTTGACAAACAGAACACCCTCACTGGAGGAAAGATAGCCTCTTTAATAAATGGTGCTGGAAAAATTGGGTTTCAACTTGCCAAAGACTAAAACTAGACCTACATCTCTCACCATGCATTAAACTAAAATTGAAATGGATTAAAGATCTAAATTTTAAAACAGAAACACTAAACCAGCTTGAAGAGTGTTTAGGAAGAACTCTTGAAGACATTGGTGTAGGAAAAGATTTTATGAACAAATTTCAGTTGCCCATGAATTAGCACAATCAACAAGTGGGATCTCTTCTTACTAAAAAACCTTCTGCACAACAAGAGAAACCACCAACAGTGTGAAGAGACAACCCACAATGTGGGAAAAAATTTTCACCAGCTGTCCCTCAGACAAACATCTACTATCTTGAATCCATAAATAACTTTAAAACATCAGACCTCCCAAATTTAAAGACCCAATCCAAAAATGGGCATCTAATATGAACAGACATTTCTCAAACAAAGAAGTAGAAATAGCAAATAAACATATGAAAAAATGTTCAATATCACTGGTCATTCAAGAGGTGCAGATGAAAACAACACTGAGATCCTACCTCACCCGAGAAAGAATGGCTGCTATCAAGAAATCAACCAATAACAAATGTAAAGGTGCAAATTTCCACTGATGAATGTCATTATATTGTATACCTAAAAAGGAACCAATAAAATTAATTTTTAAAAAAAGAAATTAGTGGTCAGAAAGAGGGAATGACTTTCCTAAGGCCACACAAACCAAAAAGTAACTGGTTGGATCAGATGCTATTAACATTATTTGCTAGAGATCTATCCGAGTCAATGAGTTTTTTGACTGCTACATGGGCTCCAACCAGAGAAATTACTGTAATTTCAATACTCATTATCCTATGGATGAATGATAATATGGGCATTTCTAATATTTTTCCATTAACACTTATTGGAGTCAAAGTGGTCACCTTCAAAAAATGAAGGAGATATGGTTTGGGGATCTGGGGTTCTACCAGGGTTCTCATAGTCATCTGGCTGGTGGCTGCATGCATATCTTCATTTGGATAAATTCACTGAGCTGCACATTTGTGGTTTATATACTTTCCTGTGTTGCTATGGCTTGAATGTGTCCACTCCAAAGTACAGGTCTGCATGGCCAACAACATCATGTGATAATATTAAGAGGTGTAGCTTTCCCAAGGTGATTGGCCCACAAGGGCTTCAGGCCCTTATAAAAGAGGCTTCACTCAGCATTCACCTTTCTTGCCCTCCGCCTTCCAGGACAGACACTCTCTTCTGGAGGCAGCCCTGAGGTGCCATCCTTGAAGCAGAGAGCAGCCTCACCAGATACCACACCTTTTGGCACTTTGACCTCAGACTTCTAAGCCTCCAGAAGTAAGGAAATACATTTATGTTTTTTATACAGTAGCTGATCTCAAGTATTCTGGTAAAAGCAGCACAAATCAGGTTAGGACATGTGTAAATGTTTGAAAAATTTTTTAAATGAGAGAAAGATTGAAAGAAACACATTTGTACATGGACCCAAATGTGTTCCTGGCTCACATATGTGCAGTTTCTATAAAGTGCCCCAAGAAGGGGACTGCTGGGTCATAGGGCACATGTGCCTTTGACTGCTGGAGACTGTCACCCTGTGCTCCACACGGGACTGCAGGCTGCTGTCTGCACCCAACCATAACACAGTAAGGGCCTCCCACACTAGGGAGGACACAGTGGCTCTGAGCCTGGGTATGGTGGGAGATGAGAGACAGATCATCCCAAAAGGGGCCAGCATGAGAACAAGGGTTGAGGAAGTCTCAGACTCCTGGGGATCCTGGACTGGGGTGGGGGGAGCAGGAGGCAGTGGGTGGAAACTTGGTTATGCACAAAGATGGAGCAGTAGAGGCCAGGAAAACCACACATGAAATGGGACTGCTCTGTGGTGAATGGCACAGGGAAGTTGTGGGCTGCTGAGGGAGGGCTCACCATTTCTGCCTCCAAGCCCTGGCGAAGGTCCAACTCCAGCCTAGACATACCTCTTGGTATCGTTCCAGCACAGAGATGAAAGTCCGCTGATAGAAAAGCAGCTGGAGGCGCTCGTGAATGTAATTATGGCACAGCTCCTCAAAGGTTGCTGCCCGGTCCTTGCCCTGATGCCGGGGGTTCTGAAAGCCTGGAGAGTCTACAACCATGATGGAGGCCATGGAGAGATGATGGGAGGAGAAGGATCTAGGGAGAGGAGAGAGAGGCCCCAGTACGACATAGAATCCGAGAGCCCACTGGAACAAGACTCCCTTTCCCCACAGCACAGCTGGACAAACTGAAGCAGTGTGCTAGGTGGGTTTGGAGATCCAGCAGATATGGTTTTAGAACCAAGATCACTGCTTAAAAGCTGAATGACCTTGGGCAAGTTACTTAACCTCTCTGAGTATGGGTTTTCCCAACTGTTAAACAAGGATGGAAGTGAGTAGGCTGATCTCACAGATTGCAGTAAGGACTAAAGGAGTTGATGTGTAGAAAGAACCTCTCATGACACATGGACACAGGAAGGTTTCGGGAAATAGGACTTCTCTAGCAGGCCCAGAGGAATGGAGAAATGATCGACTTATAATAACCTGGAAAACTGGCTCCAAAGTTACAACTAGAGCTTCCTTTGGTTGCTCCAGTGGCACACTCAAACAAGAAAATCATTTTGTTCAGGGTATCCATTTACAAAGTTCTTTCAAGCTATCACTTCCTAGAATTCTCCTGATGAATCTGTCTGGGTGGACAGAGCAGGGTCTATTCCAATGAAAAAGCACAAATTAGGAGTTTTGGGTGTCAGTCATATTTGGGCTTCCCCCTTCTCTCTGCAATGGGCTATGTGTCTCTGGAGAGTTTCCCAACCTCTCTGAGCCTCAGCATGAAAGGGTTAATGATGAACAGGTGTGGTGGCAAAAGCTTGTAATCCAAGCACTTTTGGAGACCAAGAAAGACTGCAAGTTCATGGCCCGCACCAGCATGGGCAACTTAGCAACTTAGTGACCCTGTCTCAAATAAAATTTTTTAAATGTTGAGACATGTAGCTCAGTGAGAAGGCTCTGTCTTCAATCCCCATACTAAAAAAAAAAAAAAAAGGATTAATGACAGAGGCCAGCCGTGAGGGCCCCTGGTAGGACATTGGATAACTCATCCACCACTGTGAATGTGAAGTCTGCCATGTGGGCAGTGCTCAGGAAATGTCATTTGCATTATCATCATTAGCACGATCAGCTCACAGCTTGGGAGAAGGCTTGGTGTGAACCTTGGTTCTCTATTCTTCCTGCGGAGGTTTCGCATCTAATAAAGTATGAAGATAGAGATGACTCAGCTAACCTGGGGAAGCCAGGTACCTACTAGAGATTCATAAATGAGGGTTTGCTATTGACGCGTCCATTTTATAGATGTAGCCCCTGAGAACCCAAGCTGTGGAACAGTTGCCCTTGCAGGCTAATAGGGGCTCCTGTGCCTGAACTCATCTTCCACCCTTGCAACCCTCCAAGCACACATGATCCCCTCAGCTTCCGGATAATGTACCTGCGGTCTCTGATGGCAATTACTCCACCAGCGACAGACCAAGGGGCACCAACTTGGAGATTTCCAGCTTTCTATGGCTGTGTGCCAGCCTCATCCTTTGGCAGGATTTCAGAAGCCTAATTATGCTTCTTGCTCCCCCAGAGGAGGCAGGGAAACCTTTGCCCATGTTCTCCAGTGGCCCTGGTAGAACCACTTAAAGGGTTTCCAAAGATAAACTCAGAAGATGCCAATCGAGGCCCCAGGTGCCTGCAGCCTGGCAGGTGACCCTTGGAGACACAGTCATCCCAAAATCATACTCTGGTTTCTCCCTGTCCCCAGCAAGAAAAATGAGACAAATAAATGATAAGAACAACTGGACAGATAGGGAGACTCAAAGGCAAGAGGTAAGGGTGCAGCTTCTGCTGGCTCCAGCCTCCCTGCCTCATCTCCTCATCTGTCCAATGGGCTGATGTGAGACTACAAGAGACGAGGAAAAATAAACCACTGGAGTTTCCCCCAGTCTTTAGAAGACACCTAGAAGTCATCAGGTTTTATTGCTAGAATTTTTACTATCACTATGAAAAAGTTACTTCAATTCATTATTATTTTTTTAATCCTCACATCAACCCTGCAGAATAGAGCTGTTTCACAGGTGTGTAAAGGGAAGTCAGAGAGGTGAACAGATTCACTCAAGTCACAGAGGAATTTAAACCCACCACTGCTCATTAAGAATCCTCTTGTCTGTTCCAAAAATGCCATTCTGTGATTTATGTCTTGTATTCTAAATAATTACTTTGAAGATAATGATATACAGTGTATTAACTATTGTTATTCTCTTATTTTGCCATTAAATTTTGTTTTATTTTTTTCATAAAATAAAAAACAGTGCTTCTTGGCAAAAGGGAAAATATGCTATTCTGCAAAACTGCTCCACTGCAAGAGGCCTACGCTATGTGGGACAGAGGGGCATCATTACCTGTTGATGAGTGAGACCACAGCCACAAAGAGCTCCTGGTACAGGCCTGAGGCCATGCCCTCCACACACTCCGTGCCCGTCATTTTGAACCCTGCAGATGGGCGAGAGCCAAGGTCAAGATCCTGTAGTCACAACCATCCCCTAGGTCCAGAGTATAACTACAAAGAAGCAGGGGTGGCTTGACTGCAAAAATGTCCCTTTCCCCAGTCATGTCCCTCCATTGCTGAAGTAATGTGTCCACATTCTTAGGACAAAGTCCAAGTGACTTATAGCATAACCTGTATCTAAGGTCATTGCTATAGTATGGATCTGCAATGTCCCCCAAAGGTGCATGTATTAAAGGTTTGGTCCCTATTCCAAGGCACTACTGGGAGGTGGTGAAACCTTTAAGAAGTGGGGCATAGTGGGAGGTATCCAGCCCTTGAAGGGGCCAGTGGACCCTAGTCTCTTGTGCCTCATTTCCTGACCACAATGAGGTGAGCAGCTTCCTCTGCCATGTGCTCCCCCCAAGAAATATTGCCTTGCAACAGACCCAAAAACAACAGGGCCAAGGAACTAGGGGCTAAAACCTCTGAAACTATGAGCCAAAATAAGCCTTTTCTCTTTCTAAATTGGTTATCTCAGGTATTGTGTTACAGTAATGGAGAGCTAACATGGTCACCTCCTCAGGGAAGCCTTCCTTGACTACCACTACCACCATTAGACCAATTCCCAACTTTATTTGCTTTTTTACAATCAACTGTAGCCAACTATTCACTTGTGTGTTTATTTTATTAACCTGTGTCTCCCTCACGTGGTTGGGAGTGCCCTAAAGTTAGGAACTGTCCTTGAGTTTTTTGGTGTTTAAATCCCCAGTGTCTGGCATGTAGTAAGAATATAGTAAATGTTTGCTGTTCTCATTTTCCAGAAGGAAATTTAACAATTTTATATCAGAAGCTATAATTTATTCATATACTGGGGCTCATTCTTTGTCTCTTATTGTAATGAAATATTCTGAGAAACAAAGATGCCTGTACACATAGGTTCTTCCAATTGTTGGTTAAATTGGCAAGATCAATTTTTGAAACAGCATCAATGCCCCACAATAGCAAATGGGTAAGATAATTTGTAGTCCGTTTGTGCAAAGCAATGCGCCTAGTCAGGTGAGGAAAATAAAGAGGAGTTTGGGAAAGTGCCCACCTACAATGTTAGGGGGAATAGAAAAGCTTACAAAACTGTAATTTCAGTTGTGGTCTCCATTTTGCTTAAACATATATGTGCTTGTGTGCATTCCATTAAAATAACCAGCCTTGATTGGCTATATGAAATAAAGCAGAGTAGGGGACGGGAGGGTCAGATCACAAAAAGTCCTCATCCTCAAGTTTGAGTTCCATCCACAGAATTAGAAACCCAGCTTCCAAATCTACACGCACTAGTGCCTAAAGAAATCCTTCTGCTCGTACATTCTAGGCAACCCAGTGCAGCCCCCAAAGCACTTCCCATCCCTCCATTTACTTCACCCCCACCCTGGGCTGTTGCTAGGCAACACACAGCCTCCCTGTATCTCTCCCAAGCCTGCAGGTCCCCTGCCTGATTAATGTCTACCCAAGACCTGGGCCTGAGAGGCTGACTCAGATTCACAAACCCATATGTGTATCTATGCATGTGTGCAGCATGTATGCCCATGTCCAAGTGTGTTTACGCATGGGTATGTATGTGTGTAGTGTGTGGCTGTGCATGTGTCTGCAATTATATTTCGTTTATCTCTGCATTGGTGTCATGTGCCTGAATGTGTGTGTACTGTACATTGGCGCCCAGGTGCTCTATGCATGTGTTTGTGCTTGTGTGAAAATACACAAGTGTACTATGCACATTTAAGCATGTGCATGTGCATATACATTAGAAAAGGTGCAAGCAGACCACAGCTCACTTGAGAGCACAGGTCTGGAGGAAACTGTAAGAGGCCAATAGAGTCATAGTGCCATCAGCCACCCAGCTGAAGTCCCTGGAAGGTGGAGACAGCTCTGAGGACCCAAGGGAGTTCTAAGAGATGCCCCCAATACCACAGTCTAGAATGATCCCACTCCATAATTCCAAATTCCACTGTTTCAATAAAAGCTACTCTCAGTTCTCAAAGGACTCCAGAGACTCCCAGCGATTTCTTTGCCCTCTCTGCAGCCAAGGTGTTTGGCTGGCAAAGGCTGCAGCTTTGGGACACCATGGACCACCCTCATAGGTTCAGAATCAATACCCCCCTTTTCCCCAAATCACTTAAGAGGGCCCTGATTCCTCCAGACTGAGTCCCAGAAGTTATGCTTGGTCCTGCTCTTCCCCTGAGGGCTTGTGCTATCTCAGCTCAGTTTGTAAACCAGACCCAGCAATCATCCCCTCATCCCATCTCCAGCACCTTGTTCTTAATCCAACACCACTCTCTCTCATCTGGTGACATTTTTAGGCTCCCAGTAGGATCTCCCTTCTCCCACTTAGCCCAAAACCTTTGTCCAGCCTGAGAATTATAAAGAAAAAGGTAAATCATACCATGTCCCTGATTAAGCCCCTCCATGGCTTCTTATCAGCCTGAGACATATAGCCTGGTCCATGAACCATCTGTGAGCAGGTCCCACCTGCCCTCTGGACTCCCCTCTGGCCACCCACCTAACCTGATCCAGCCACACTAACCTCATTTCTGTCCCTTAAACAGAAAGTTCAGTTTTCCTTTCCAAGAAAGCACTCAAAAAATACTTTCGTATTTTCCAGTAGAAAGGCCTCCATCCCATGGCATTGTCCACAGTGTCCCCTCTGCCCAATACAGAGCTCCCTCCCAGGATCCAGCCACCCTCATGATCACTGGGCAAAGCTGTGACTATGAGCACCGTGCAGTAGGAACCACAACCATGACTCCTATTGTGACTTCCCTACACCTGGCACAGAGGCATAGGGTAGGTCTTCAGGAAATCCTGGATGGACAGGAGAAAGGGTTCAGCATGATACCTGCAGCCCTTGCAGCTCCCAGGGGCTAGCCTAGAGGAGAGGCAGCAGCGTGATACCTGAGCTGGGCTCCTCATCCTTGAGGCCCCGTCGGCTTGGCCCGGTTGTCACTTGCGCAATGATCTGCCGCAGGTGGTGCTTGAAAGTAGCTGTGTTCAGCTCCTCATACTCACAGCCCAGGGCTTCAGCTGCATGGTTTGCCCACTCAAACCGCATGAATTGCTTCCGGCCCACTGCATAAGGGATCAGGAAGAGGCTTGGCAGTGAGAGAGTACTTTCCAGGGTCTTGCTGCCCTCTAGGCCCCCCACCCTCATGGGGAAATCTAACAAGGCAGAGTTCCCAGGGAATGCCAGGCCTACTATGTGGCAGGCACTTTGTTAACCACTGGGAAACCTGATGGTGAGCAAGATAGACCGAGTGACTGTCCTCATGCATCTATCAGTCTACTGAAGGAGCAAGACAATAAGCAAGTGAACAAAATATATGGTAAAGAGAAATAAGGTAATTCTAGGTAATAATAGCCCACAGACACACACACATACACACACACACACACACACACACACACACACACTGCAAGAAGAAACTGGAGCAGCTAATAAGATAAAGGAAGGCTGAGCGAGTTGTTACCTAACTAGAGTGGTCCCAGAGGGTCCAGAAAGGTATGATCACTGAGCTGTACTGGAAAGATGAGAAGGAGCTAGCCACATCAAGGAAGTCAAAAGAATTAAACTCTGCACACCATAGCAATACTGGCATACCCATGTTTCACAACATAATTCAAAACAGCTAAGCTATGAAGTCAGCTTGGGTAGCTGTCAACAGATGAATGAATAAAGAAAATGTGGTATACATGATGGAATATTATAAGGAAGAATGAAATCATGTCATGTGCAGGAAAATAGATGGAACTGGAAATCATTATGTTAAGTCAAATAAGCCAGACTCAAAAAGTCAAACATCATGCTTTCTCTCATATGAGCCATCTAGAAACAAAACTGTAAAGACTTTTTTATAAAGAGAAACTAAAGAGAAGAGGAAGGGGATCGGAGGAGTGGGGAGAAAAACAAAGGAGGATAAAGGATGGGAAATGATCAAGGAATGTTATATGCATGTATGAATATGCCAAAATGAAACCCATTATTCTGTATAAGTACTATGCACTAATTTTCAAAGGAGAATCAGGAAAGTACTTTAGAGGTAGAGGAGACAATCCAAAAGCCCTAAGGCAGAAGTGAGCATGGTATGTTAGAGAAACGCCATGAAGGCCAGGGTGACTGGATTAAAATGGGGGAGGAAGGCCACTAGAAAAGGCTGCAGAAGCAATGGAGAACCATGCTATGGAGAATTATAAGGTCATTTAAAATCAACAACAGAGACCTTGTACAACATGGACAATACTTAGGGCTGAATGGTAAGTGAAAAGTAGATGAGAAAACTAGACCATAGTACAGATGTAAACTTAATTATTCTTAATGGTTATTAAAATTATGAAAACAGAAATGTGGCCAAATATTAATTACAACTGAGTAAGGAGATTTGGTATTTTCCAAATTTTCTACAGTGGTTGTGCACTAACTCTGTAATCTAAATAAAAAATAAATTATTTATTAAAACAAATAACAAAAAAATAAAAAATGAAACAAGTAACAGTGCCATCCTTTAAAAATACTCTCCCATCTCTTATCTTCCCATAAGTGTGTTTTATCCTTTGAAACAAGAATGATAACTGTCCACAGAGATTTCTTAGTCCAATCCAAGAAAAGAGGGATCAACTCTTTAAAAAGATCCCTAGAAGAAAGAGTCTGGCCTATGGCAAAATCGGAAATCTGGAAAAATTATTTTATCTCAACACTATCCAAGAAGGAAAGCAATGGCCTCAGTCATTAAAGCTATCACAAGTAACTGCTCTTTACTGGGGTCCACCCATATGCCAGAGACTCAGCACCAATCACCACAAAAGCATCACTTTACCCTCATTTCATATTATTCATTTTACAGATAATGAACCAAGAGGTAATACAGCTAATAAAAAAGTAATGCCACTTTCAAAAATGATTAAGAAGATGGTGATGGTAGTGATGGTGTGATGATGTTGATGACAGTAGTGATGGTGGTGATAAGGATGAGGATGATAATGATGTGGATGATTGATGGTGGTGGTGGTGGTGAAATAGTAGTGATGATGATGGATACACTGGTAACTGATGATAGTGATGGTGATTATCCCGGTGACCATGGTCATAGGTCATAAAGATGATGGTTAATAGGGGCAACTGAGGATGGCAATGGTGGTGATGAAGGTGATAAGAATGATGACAGAATTGAGGATGTTATTATAGCATTGATTGATGATAGTGGTAGTGGTGATGATTTGGGGAGAAGATTATTTCCAAAGCAGGCTGTAAGCAGTGCAAGCTGTAAAGAGTTAACCCCACAATTGGCTCATTTATAGAAGTGAGTCCGCCAAAGCTTACATGCCAAGTAACTTGCACCCAAATTCTGTTCCCATAACCAAAAACCTTCTTAACTAGAATGACAATGTTCTAATTACAACCATATATTTTGTCTATTCTGTTCCTAATTCGAGAATGCTTTGTCTTGTCTTTTACAAGACTTGCTTACTTTAATTTCCACAGAAACTGCACAACTGCACATCTTCACACATAGCTCTGCCCTTGTACATAGCTTGTCTTTACCCCAATTGATTACTAATAAAAATTAGTGACTTGGACTGGCCAGTGCCTTTGTCAGTTGCACCAGCATTGGTCATCCTGGCACTCCACTTTCTGTCTCTTTTAGTTCTGTCTTTTAGTTTTTTTCCCAGGCTTGAGTCATACACTGAGTAGGAGACTGGAGCCTACTACCGAGGTTTTCAGTAACTTTTCAGGAATCCCCAGTAGATGATGATGATGATGATGATGGTGATGATGATGATGGTGATGATAATGATGATGATAATGATGATGATGATGGTGATGATGAAAGTGGTGGTGGCCATAAGAACAGTGCTGAAAATAGTAAAACTTTATTGTCTTCATTTTATTCAACATGGCATCTTATTTAGCTCAAGGCTTTTGGTGCTAGAGAGCCTGTGATATACTTCCATGTATGACATGTGGAAAAAACTCAATGCATGATTATTGTAAATATTTGTTGCTATTATTATTATATCTTCACAAAAGTCTTAGAAAGCACTATTGCCATTTGCACTTTATAGTTGAGAAAACAGACTCAGAGAAGTCTCCGGGAAACAGACTGTACTAAATGGAAGAACTACTCTTTCACCAAAATAAGTTCCTCAAATAACATCTTTAGGAAATTTGTCATATTCTTATGACCCTGGATATATTTTCTTTTAAATGGATTCACTTATCTCTTTCATGGAAATAAATATATTGTGCAAGGAGATATTATTGCACTATCTTAAATGAGAATCCATTTTCACCTGTGACAATGGACAATAGAAGCTATAATATAAACACCAAAATGTAATTAGATTCTAATTAGACACAATACTTGTGAGCCTGAAGTCCACTCTCTTTTAGAAGGGAGATTAACAAGTACTAGAGAGAGGACTTGAAGGCTGTTATCACTGAATGAGATCACCCTCTTCCTGGTGGGGACAGAAACTAAATGAAATAGGAGGTCACTTTCTAGGTGGGTGTTCCTGTCCCTTTCCTGTCCCACCACTCTCCATGGCTGCTCTCCAAAATACAATCTCCCACACTCTACCTGCCATGACCTTCCTGACCTCAGTGAGCTGGGAGGAGTCAGGAAAGGAATTGGCCTCAGCTATTTCTGAGAGGAGGTGCAGGCAGACTCCCTAAATACTGCCTACATTAAGGGAACAGTTGAGTGCTGCTGAGAGGCACTCTGCTCATGAATCTGAGATGGTACTCAGGAGGGGAGGGCAGGAGTGAATATCTTCTGCCCCAGACCCCCGAAGTCTGGCTGACACAAAAAATCCCACCCTGTACATTCCTCTCTCTTTGCTCATGCAAGGCAGTGGCCAAAGTCTTCCCAAGAGAGGTCAAAAACCTGGAGATGCCATCCAAGGCAGAGAGAAGAGGAACTGGGCAAGATCATGGCGATGGAACAAACATTCCCATCTATCAGACTTTCAGCCAGTCACATAGTCTCAGCTTACTCATCTGCTAAATGGAATCATAAAATCCCCATGACCTCTTCATAGAGTTGTGAGGATGAGGTGGAATGGTGGTTATGTGGCTCCAGCATACCTCCTGCAGTCTGTCCATTAGCAGGAAAAGACTATGTGCAAGGGTTCCTGCGGGGAGGGGAATGGCACTTGGATGTGGGGATTCTGAGCTGAGGCCACTTCTCTGACGAAAGAATGGCACATGCTGACTCAGCATCTGCCACCAACCTAAAGCCAGGGATATCACAGTAGACCTCAGATACCAGTGAGGTCAGGGACCCCAATGTCCAAGGGAGCAGGGTGGCCTGGAGAATGTTTGGGTCCTTCTACTCACAAAGCTATCAAGTGAGTACTGTGTGTGACTAATGTGCCAGTCACTGTGCTAAATAAAGTCTTCCCCTGGCTCCCCCCAACAATTTATAAAACCCTCCAAGATAAGGCACTCAAAGAACACATTTTGCAAGGGAGAGTTTCTTCACTAAAGCAGTACAGGAGGTGAGTGGCAAAGTTGGGATTTCTACCCCAGAGTGGCTTTCCGGGGCTCCTGGCAGCTATGCTGTCCTCCTGCCCTGTGAGAGCAGAGATCTGTATGGTCCTAGCTTTATCCCCGGCCCTTGGAACAGACCCAGCCCCAGAAAGGCTCAATACACCTTTGTAAAGTGAGTGATCAAATGAAGGAATGAATCACTGAACAAATGACAGTTGCTGCTGATGACAGCCCTGGCCATGCTCCTTCCCTGCTCTGCCACAGTTTGGGAAAGAGAATCCAGGAGCTTCCTGGCCCCAAGGAACCAGCTGTTTGGACACTGGCTGTTCATCAAGCCACAGTGAGGAAAGACCCAATAGAAGATAAAAGAAAGCGAGACAGATGGAGAGACAGAAGGAACAGCAAGAAGAGATGGAAACAGAGAGAAAAGGCAGAACTGGCTCCCAGCACACTGCAGAGGATCACCACTCTCCCCACAGCTCTCCCCTCCACCCCCAGGAGGACGGGAGGCCGCACCTGGACTGACTGCAAGCTCGGTGCAGAGACCATTTCTATGTGAGCATACGGTTTCCAGCCACTCTTCTGG